GATGGAAGGTTCAATATTCAAAGCTATTGGAGATGCAAGAGTAGAATTCTTAACATTCAATTTAAAAAGACCATCACATAAGAAACCTTTTCCAATGAAGTTCAAACCCTTAGTTATTACAACTTTATTTGATTCAAAAACAAGCTTATAGCCTTGTTGCACTAACAAAGATCCACTAATTAAGTTTCTCCTAATGTCTGGTACATGATGGACATCCTGCAGGATCAAAGTCTTATCAGAAGTCAGCTTTAGGTTGATCCGACCTATTCCAGATACAGGAGCCACATTATTATTTCCCATTGTCACAGTTCCTCTACTTGAGACCTGATAGGTGGAAAACAAAGATTGATTAGAGCAAACGTGAATATTAGCTCCAGTGTCAATCCACCAATCATTTGCTTGAAAGGTCATGTTTACTTCAGGAGTGAAGAGAACAGACCTGAAAGCAGTCTCAGCTGGACTGGAAGTCACCATGTTTATTTGTGACTTATTAGGTGGAGGCCCTCCCTTCCTAGGCTTGGGCGGTTCAGTTTTCTTGAAAAAGCAGTCCTTTGCAAGATGGTTGGTTCTCCCACAAACGAAGCAGGCTCAACGTTAAACAAAGATTGATTAGAGCAAACGTGAATATTAGCTCCAGTGTCAATCCACCAATCATTTGCTTGAAAGGTCATGTTTACTTCAGGAGTGAAGAGAACAGACCTGAAAGCAGCCTCAGCTGGATTGGAAGTCACCATGTTTATTTGTGACTTATTAGGTGGAGGCCCTCCCTTCCTAGGCTTGGGCGGTTCAGTTTTCTTGAAAAAGCAGTCCTTTGCAAGATGGTTGGTTCTCCCACAAACGAAGCAGGCTCAACGTTCAACTCCTTCCTTCTTTTGAAAGTGAACATGGTTCTTATTTTGATGAAAGGGTTCTTCTTAAATGTTTTATTTTGATTTTGGTGGAAGGGACGTTTCTTGTGTTGGGGAAAGGGTTTGGATTCAACATTGTTTACTTTGGGTTCTTTGGGTTCGGATTTTGTCACATTTTTCTCCCTGAGTCTATGTTGCTCTTCAATTCTAATGGAATTCAACACTTGTTCTAGTGTAAGATCTCCTTGGGTATGGTTAAGGTTTTTGGCAAAATCTGACCAGGACTCGGGAAGTTTGTCTATAAGACAGGCTATCTGAAATGTTTCATCTAGGATAGATCCATTCACTTTTAGTTGGTGAACTATATGTTCAAATTCATGAATTTGCTCATTCATTGGTTTAGAATCTACCATTTTAAATTTGTTAAAATCAGAAGCTTTAAATCTTTTAATTCCCATATCATCTAAACCATACTTTTTCTCTAGGGTTTCCCACAGAACTTTAGCATTAGTGATAGTGTAATATATATCATATAATCTATCAGATAAAGCTCCTAAGATTCTATGTAGACAATGATACTCTATTTCTTGAGGTGTTCTTGGGATAGGAATGGAATCTGTGGAGGAAGATGAGGAAGATTGCCTAGTAACTGGTCTAGATGAAGATGGGTTATCTGGTTCTATGGCTGTTATTAGATGTAGGGTTGTTAACCAAAATCTCATTTGGTTTTGCCAACGACGGAAATTATTCCCATCAAACTTCTCTGGTTTAGCAGACATAACTTCACTTGTAGCCATAATCTGATGATGAATGAATAGTTTTGTTATTATAATGCAACAGAAATATATAAAGCATTCATTCAACAGAATAATCATGCAGTGTAACATTTCGTTTTTAAGTATTGCAGACATCATTAACATGAAAATCAGAATGCTAATCATGATACTATTCTAAACAGCACTAATTAGTTTCTTGGATTGTTGGGAATATAAGCTGTTTAGAGTGTAATTAGCACAAAATGCAGTTTTAACAGAATTAGATAATGATTAAAAATAGACATAAAATTAAATTGAGTTTAGAATATAGCCTGATGGTCGAGGCGTGCAAGCACTGTCCCAAGAAACTAATTGCCCCCTTCTCGTACAGGGCTAAGCGGCAAAAGTCCCCGGAGATACAACGATCCTCGGTCAGGCGACCTCCTTCTCGTCGGCACGAGCTTCAAGAAGGCTTTGCGAACTCTTCTAGACTTTCAGGGAACCAGCAAGTTGTAATAGCAAGCAAGTGTAAGAAGAAGAACAGAGCTGAGAAGGAAGAGGAGAATTTTGTGTTTTTCACACTGTGTTTTCTACCCTCGCAGCTTGCTGTTTATATAGAGGTTGAGAATGAACGTTTTTCAATACCGAATTAAATCCTCATAAAAACCTTTTTTCCGTTTTGATTCTGTTTTAATTCTCATGAATATTACCGTTTCATTTACGTTTTAATTTAGTTTTAAAGTTCATAAATCTCTCCAATTAATTCTGGCCGTTAAACATTTTAAAAATGTTAATCACGTTTTAAACAGTTCCAATTAGTAAAAATAAAAATGTTAGCATATTAAGGGCCCATTAATCCGGAGCTGCGTCGTGTGCGCGCGCCACCCGACCCGACCCCGAGCCCGGCCCGGCCGGCGCGCGCGTGTGTGGTGTGGAGCATAACCTTTTGTTTTCTTCTAGGCATAGGAGAGAAAGGGAAGGCTTATAAAGACTCTTCCTTCCTATTCCATTTCCTATGTGGGACTAAACTTTTCCTCTTTTCCTCTACAAACCCAAGTTTTTAAGTTATAACTCCAACAGTTCTGGGTCTTGATTAATGTAGTTGGCATGATGTTGGCTGGATGGGCATCGATCGTATGGCCTGCTCCATTGCGTCTGTCGCCATTGTTGGCCAACAATAGCTCATACGTCAGGGCCGGCTGCGAATTTTCGGGCTAGGTTGATGAGCTTCCATCGGACCTTCGTGAGCCACCCGAGTAGCTTCTTTAGCCTGTAAATTGGATAAGCACCAGGTAATGATAGAGTAGCCCTTAATTAAACCAGCCAATGCATCATCAGCATATGAATCGATTATTTGTCCAGAAAATATGACTAATACTGATTTCTTTAAAAGATTGAGTTCATGACTTGCTTCATCGCTTGGTGGTATGCCATCAAGTCTTCACGTACGCTTGACGTCGACATATTCGTCATTAACCTGTTTGGCTATGAGTCTAGTTCTTTCTTGCTTATCTACGCTTCGCATCTCGTCTTCATTACTCTTCTTCTCAGATTCTTGTGTCCTCTTCCTCAGTACTAGAGACTGGATAGAATTAACCAAACTTCTACTTCTCAAGTTTCCATTTCTTCTTTTTTTTTAACCAACTTTTCATTTCTAGAGCTATCTATTACGATCCTCTCAGGGGCGTCATTAACTAAACTTTAGGGCATTAGTGTGCAGTCTTAAATGGAAAAATTCTGAAAATAGATCACATTTGCTAAATATTTAGCAAAATCGACCATTTTGCTAAATATTTAGCAAAATCGACCTCTTTTTGGCCTGTTGGCCAAAAAGAGGTCGATTTTTAAAAACTTAGCCTGAAAACATACGGGACTACTAGTCCCGTATGTTTTCAATACACTAATTAGAGATTAGAAAACATACGGGACTAGTAGTCCCGTATGTTTTCTGTGAGCTTCTCGTGGCTCAGCAAAATGTACGGGACTAGTAGTCTAGTACATTTTGCAGAGGCTTTTGCCTCAGCAATCAAATATTTTTATTTTGCAGAGGCAATTTTTCTCTGCCCAGCAAAAATACGGGACTACTAGTCCCGTATTTTTGCTAGGCAGAGGCTTTTGCCTCTGCAAAATATACGGGACTATTAGTCCCGTATATTTTGCAGAGGCAACCTGCCTCAACCCAGCAAAAATACGGGACTACTAGTCCCGTATTTTTGCTGGGCAGAGGCAAAACATGCACAAAACATGCATGACCCTCTAGCTGAGCATACAACCCTCTAAAAAATACACATTATCACAACACAATACATTATCACAACACAATACATTATCACAACACAATACATTATCACAAAACAATACATCATCACAACATCACATCCAAAATTCAACCAAAATTCACATCAGCACAAAATAATTCCAACTGCATTAAGTCTAACCATACGATAATATGTAGCTTAAGTAGAATAAATCCAAATGCATCAATAAATCCATACGACAATAATCTACATGGAAAAACTAACAAAGTAAAAATCCACCCCTCCCCCGTTGTCTCGACCTTCGCACCCGCTGAGATCGTCGGCGGCCCTCTTCGTCTTGAGCTTGTATATGCTCGCTCTCCGGTTGTGTGTGGGGCTGTGACGGACCAGCTCGTTATGACGGACCAGCTTGTTGTGACGGGCCAGCTTCATCGTCGTGCGTGCAAGATCTATCACGTCTACGGTGGCGCACATATGTAGTATCTTCAAGATCCACCTGCTCACGACCTTCATGTCGATCCTCATGAGTTTGTTGAAAAGCTCTACGAACTCTCGCCACTATCCTCTGTAATAGCGATACGTCCACAGAATCTCCTATGGCGGTAGTTATACCCTCATTTGCAATCCCCACTACATCGTCCAATGCGTCTATCTACAATTACATAAAAATATTGCTTCATATAAGAAACCAAAAGCTAACATAAAGATTGAAAAATCTATAATAATCTAAAGCAATTTACTTACCCATCGCCTCTCATCTAACCCTCTTGGTACATATCGAGATTGTTGGTTGCGAATCTCGATTTCGTCGACTGGAGGCGCAGTTTGGGTGATTATCCAATGTCGGGTAACCCCCCAATACCATCTTATGTAATCGACTTCCTGCATCAGAGGATAAAGCGGATCGACAATAAGTTGATGCCGATCATTCCACCGAGCTATGTATGATTGATGTGTGCGCTGCCAGTTAATCTGATGTCCACCTTTAGCCGCCTTTCTCTCTATTTTTTCGACCAATTGTGGAGCGTGTTGTGTGAGTCCAAACTGTCTAAACACGCGATCGGGTACGTGCATCTCCACAATTTCGAAACAAATGAGAGGAACTCTGGACCGCCATATGCCGTGTCCCTCCATACAAATCAGCGGTAGACGATGTAGGTAAGGTGCGTATGGCTGCCACTCGAACTGCAAAATAATCCATATATTAACTGTTGTTTGAAATATGTCGATAGCTTTAAACGATTGCAATTCAAATTCATACCTGAAAAATTTTTATTCGGTCGATCTCCCCCCTGTAAAAGTCTAACTGTCTAGCCGGGACCTCATTATAGGCTTTAGTGACATTCCATCTGTAAATTTTATATACGATAGATTTTTGTTCAAAAGTTTAAATGAAAAATAAAATATCAAACGATATTAAATTCGAGGAATTTTACCTGCAGCCTAGTGGAATCTGTCCATCCAACTCTCGGATCTTGCATAATCGCGGTTTCAAAACCAGTCTCTCCCATACCCAAACTTGTAACAATGTCAAACAGCCTTTGAGCTCTTTATTTTGCATTAAAGCAACCTTTGACATTTCTCGATATAGATATGCTAAAACAGCACTACCCCAGGATAATGTCCCACACACGTCAAAGTCTTCGAGAAGTGGTAACCACCTATTGAAAAATGTGGAAGTTAGTCAGATTTTCTAAAAATAGTGAGAAAAAATATCTTCTTATCAAAGTATAAAAGTAATAACAATTTATGACCCGTCTTACCTCAAATGCACTTTATGTTTACTTGAATCGGGAAAAAGAAGCGTCCCGATCATGTGCAAAATATATGCTCTAGCATATTGTTGGATCATGACTTCTGATGCATCGTGTGGCAATGGGTTAGCAAAATTTTCTTTTAGCCATTTCAATCTAATATACCCTCCACGCAAGGACTCCGGTGATAGTCCTAACAAATTATCACATACATCCCGCCAAACATGCCTATCTGTCCCCGTGACACAAGGACCATCAATGCGGAGTCCTAGGATCACTGCTACATCCTGAAGAGTAATAGTTGCCTCCCCAACACGTAGATGAAAGTGTTAGTCTCGGGCCTCCATCTATCCATTAATGCATTAAGCAGTGCCCAGTCGAGTTTCATCTATCGCAATTGTGAGCAAATCAGAAAACCGGCTTGTGACACAAGGGTAATGATGCGAGGATCATCAAGCGGCCAACGCATATGCCCAAGGCTATGATCAATCATAACCAGCTCTTGCCCTCTCTACACAAAAATAAAAACAAATATTAGAATATCACAATAATAAATAATGTGAGTCTAAACTAAATCAATCAAAACATAGAGCCATAGTACCTCTGTAAATGATATACTCTCTGAACGATGGCGTGGCTGATCATAGAGGACTTCATCAGAAACCGGCCCGGGGAGCATCGCGTATATACCTGAACGATGTCAAGATTACCTTATTAGTTTCTACCAAATGTATAAGGCCACAAAAATAAAATTAACAATGTAAATAGAAAATATATTACCAATTAATTGCTATAAACTTGTTCTTGATGGACAACGAGACCTATTATGCCCTAATTGACTTCATGTTCCACATCTAATTCGTGATGCTCCTCCTTCCCGGCCTTGATCCATAGTACCTCTGATGCGCACAGATCGAGGTCTTCCCGCTTGTCTTTTGACTTGAGGTGGTAATAAATATTCCGTATAAGCGGCAGGCCAATAACGAGTATCATCGGGAGGATGAAAACTCTCTTTGTAAGCCTTCCGATAATGATTTGTTGAATACCAAGCTGAGCAATACCGATCATACGGCAATCTAGCGCCACCATCCTGACTGGAACTAGCTGCTAAAACATGTTCACATGGTAGTTTTTGTAATTGTGGTAGGCTACAAGTACAACTACACTCTTGGTCATAGAGATGAACGGTGTAAGTTCCATCACGATCCTTGACCTCCCATTCATTGTCGTTGAATGGTTCAATTCTACATGTTCTTACAGCCACAACCCTTTTCTGCAACATTAACTCGTTTTTTGGAGTGTACTTACTCGTCCAATTTGCACCATCACTCCGTCTCTTTTGGAAGTATGCATTCAATCTATAAAACGTCCTTGCAACTAAGGCACTAATTGGCATAGCACGGGTACCCTTAAGTACACCATTAAAACTTTCAGAACAATTAGTCATCATCATACAATAACGCACCCCACCATCTTTACATAATGCCCATCGATCTTCGTTTTGCGGTTTCAAGTTGTGTTCAATCCAATTGTGTGCTTCAACTAATAGGGCTTTAATTTTTCTTTCTACAATGCTCATATACAAGTGAGTCAGTGGCACACCCGGCTTGCCATAATAAATTTTGTAAATTGACCTCTCCATGTTTTCTCTTAAAATTAGCTCTTATATGCCGCAAGCAGTAATGGTGATGATGTGGTGCACTCCACCCCTCATGCAAGGCTCATGGAATTCCTTTCATTCGATCGGAAATAAAGGTAATAACTCTTGGACTTTGAACAGTCGGAATGTATTTGTAAATACACTGAAAAAACCACTTCCAACTTGATGTATCCTCCACCTCCACGACTGCGAAAGCTATTGGAAATAGTCCACCGTTTGCATCTACACCGGTCGCAACCAAGAGCACTCCTTTGTATTTGCCATATAAATGTGTTCCATCGATGCTTAAGAGCGGACGACAAAACGAGAACCCTTTGATAGCGGGCCCAAATGCCCAAAATACCCGTATGAACCTCTCCACTTCTGGTGAGACCTGCTTAGACACTATCTCATGTTCGGAACCCGGATTATTCCTCTTAATTGCTGCAAGATAATGTGGAAGTTTTTGATAAGATTCTTCCCAATCTCCAAATATTTTAGTCAACGCCTTCCTTCGTGCATCATATGCTTTAGACTTGGATATAGTTATGCCTTTCATAGCACGAACCGTTGTTATTATCTATCCTGGAGTAAGATCAAGTTCCCGCCTAACTTAGGGCATAATTAGCTTCATTATATAAGTGGAAGTCGTTGTCATATGATCATTAGCGATAGTCGGATTGCAACATGTATGAAGTCCGCAATAATTTGAGATCACAAATTGTCCGTTGGATTTTTTCCTAACAGCTGCATTAAGCTTCCATGGGCATTTTAAATTTCTATCGTCTGCAGCACTTGTATAAGTGGCTTGATATTTCTCATTGAAGTAACACTTTACATGGTAGCTAGTTGAGTTGGATTTCACCAGCTTGAATTTGACCCGGTTCCTAATTGCCCATTCACGTATAGCGAAAATTAAGCTTTCCTTATTCTCAAATAGATCTCCTTTTTTGAAAGTGATATCCTCGGGTCGATCGAAATTAGGACCAGGCTCAACTAACTCAGCTTGTGAGTTATTTACCCACTCATCATTTTCAAACTCTTCGGGTAACGGTTCTTCAGACTCTACATAATCGTTGTTTACGCAATATGCATTCATCCAACTTGCATCATCATTGTTCTCTCCAGTTGCGAACTACATACTATCAAGACGTTCCTCCTCAGACTCAACATCTTCACTATCATCATCAGCATCTACATATTCGTCATCTTCTTTTATAGAACCACCAACCGGTAAATCAACTGAAATATCATCATACACGTTGTGAAACATGTAACTTGACGTTACACCTGCGTCATTTTTAAGTGCAAGGCACTTTGAGATAATGAGATTTAACTTTCAAGCATGCGAGAGAACTCTCCGTGAGCATACGAAACTTCGACAACCCCAGACTTTGGAATATTTTCAATGAACAACTCAATTGCGATTTGTTTATCCGCAAGTTGTATCATGTCATTCAATTCTTCATCAGTGGTGATCTCTACCGCAATTGTTCTTTTTTCATTTATTGGACAATTACAAAAGACCTTAATGGCATTTTCGGCATGATTAATTCTGGTAACTCTGTATATTTGCTCCATCATTCCATCGAAATTGCAATTTCTAGACAACATGAACATTTTCCTAGAGCCTCCATCATATATAGGCAAATTATTCATTCCAACACTCAATTTCCCATTGAATAAGCAAATAATCGGAATTCCATTCGCCATTTTAATTGAAGAATTAAAATTTAACGTATACAAATTAGATATTTTACAAATTGATGATCATAATTCATTATTTCCTCTAGATATACCTCTAAATATACATATTAACTAAACAAAATTGGAGAAATTTATGAAAAAAAAATTAAAATTGTTACCTTGTCGAAATCGAATTTCGTTGGCGTCGGAGATCAAGCTCGGCGTCAGATTTGAGGGAGGAGGGGGTGAGTTGGCTTTGGGAGAGAGAGATTGGGTTTGGGAGAGATGGAGATTGGTTTGAGAGAGATGGAGATTGGGTTTGTGTGTGGAATTAGGGTTTGGGAGAGATGGAGATTGGGTTTGGGTGTGAAATTCGGGTTTGGGAGAGATTTCAATGGGTTTGGGAGGGATTGAGATGGGTTTGAGAGTGAGGGTGAAGAGATTGAGATGGGTTTGGGAGTGAACGTGGAGAGAGAAGGTGGAGAGAGATTGAGATTCTAAGGGGAATAGCGGAATTTAGGGCAGAGAGTATATATATGTCGACATTTATACGGGACTAGTAGTCCCGTATAAATGGTTCTCGTGGCTCTGCAAAATGTACGGGACTACTAGTCCCGTACATTTTGCTGAGCCACGAGAAGCTCACAGAAAACATACGGGACTACTAGTCCCGTATGTTTTCTAATCTCTAATTAGTGTATTGAAAACATACGGGACTAGTAGTCCCGTATGTTTTCAGGCCAAGTTTTTAAAAATCGACCTCTTTTTGGCCAACAGGCCAAAAAGAGGTCGATTTTGCTAAATATTTAGCAAAATGGTCGATTTTGCTAAATATTTAGCAAATGTGGTCTATTTTCAGAATTTTTCCGTCTTAAATTATAGGTATCAAAGTACAAGATTGGTGAAACTACAATGTATGAGTGTAATTTACTTTTGAGGCGTTAGCGCACGGTCTTAAATTATGAGGCATTAAATTAGGGGTTATTTGGTTGTTGCTGGTAAAGTTGTGTATTTATGACACAACTTGAAAAGTTGTTGTCCATCTCATCAATTTTACTTTTATACTTTTCTTTGTTTGTTTTTTATTTCATTGGAATCATAAATTGTTTGTTTGGTTTGCAAATGTAACTTTAATTGTTTGTTTGGAAAGTGTAAAAAGTGATCCCTACTCAAATGATCATATTTGTTGGAATTATTTTTTATTATTTTTTCCTGACTTCAATATCAGCTTTCTCCTAAAATCATGTCTTTTTTTTATGAAATTATTTTACAAGCCGCATCAGCATATGAAATTACTTTATACTGTTTTTACAACTACAAACAAACAATTGAAAGTGATGAAAGCTGACATTGGGACCTACTTTTTTACATTTTCCATCCTTTTACATAGTAAAAACATACAATCAAACAGCCCCTAAGCACAAGATTGGTGAAAGCGCACGTAGGGCTGTCCATCCGGGCCGGGCCGGGCAAAACCCAAGCCCGGACCCGGGCCCGGGTGGTCCGGGCCCGGGCCCGGGCCTGAGCGGGCCGGACACCGGGCCGGCCCGGTTTGATTTTTTTTAAGAAATTTTTTTTGTTTTTTTTTTTTAATTTTAACAAAACCATAAACCATAAATTATTATAAAAAATTTCATAAATTTAATTAATAACTTGAAATGAAATGACATAAATTACAAGTATAAAAAATGATAAAAATAACTTCTTTATTAATAATCGGTAAATCCTTTACAAATCCTTTACAAGTATAAATTTATTTCGAAATTCGTCGCA